CTTTGCACTTATGTGACTCTAATATGTGGCTTCTATAGGACCAGTAATTAAAGACAAAATAATTAAATAGATAAATACATAAATAAATAAAAGATGGTTTATTTATACTGCTCATACCTGTGTCTTGTGGCCTGAGAGGAAGTCTGCTCTGATTGGCGGGAAGTATCTCCAACTTGATGACGTCCCCAGAGCTGGCGAGGAGCTGTGTGGCCTCCATCAGTGAACAGTGCTCTGTGCTGGTCCCGTCTATGGCCAGTATGATGTCCCCAACATGCAGCGCTCCACACCTGATTGGACAAACAAATTAAGTATCAAAGTGATCTTTTGGTAGGTCAAGTTTTGAAAGGGCTTTCTTTATAAAACATCACTTAAAGTTGTGTTATCTTCAGTGGTGGAAGAAATACTCAATTTTATTTCTTAAGGGTACAGCTACTGGACCAGAAAATACTCAAGTAAAAGTACAAGTATTACATGAAAAAATGTACTTAAGTAAAAACCAATTTACCAATACCATTTTAAAAATGTACTTTAAGTATTTCAAACTGATTTTGAAATCTAATAAAGCTTCAAACGTAGTAATTTTGATACTGATTTGTGCTGAATTTTGTATCTACTGTAAAACGTATTGAAGAAAAGTACAGGTACCTAAAATTTATACTTAAGTACTTTGTTATACTCCACCACATTTTTTTCAAACAAAGCCACATATATTGCACTTTACTAGATTTGTGTGGACAGTTGTGTATCTAATGGGAGCTGGACCTTTCCACCACACTGGCTGGCTTGATCTTGTCTATAATAATGACTTGTTTATTTCTGTAGATGGCTGTGGTGAGGCTGATCCCCAGGCTCGATGACAGGCCTCGCACTATCTCCACCAGCAGAGGGCCCGAGGCTTGTTGGACTGCCTCTACAACACAAAACATGTAGAAGAACAAAGTTTCAAGTTGGAAAAAGACAAAATGCACCTTTTTGTTAACACTTTAATATAAAAAGCTTACTGAGAATAACATTTTTCATTTTTTCTTTATTTTACGAGCTCTATGTAACTTTTCTGGTGGAGGGTCTGCCTACATTTTTGTCTCCATGACGGATGTTTCACAGCATGTTATTACAGCCTGCATGTTCTTTGAGCAATAAAAACGCCCACAACTGAATGAATGCCATGAAACATTTTAGGCAGAGTAATACCATCTCCACTGGGACAAGCAGGTGGCGGACCTTCTACCCAGAAAGTTTCATAATGCACAATTAAGTGGGAAGCATGAAGGCCTGATTGCTCAAGTGTGTAGCAGTTAATGTGTGCCAACTGTCCTTAGTGACACGTCCCATTTTGCACAGACCAGAGCAGAATATTCAGCACAATAATTTAGCAGCAGTTGCATCAGATAATCTCTGGCTTCAAAATATAATTCTTTACCTTGGCAAAAGATGCAACACATATGTGTACCATGTATAGAATATAACAGGATTATCAGATCAAGTATGCAGGTTTTCTCTTGGTTTTGTTATGATCATCTCTTGCTCTGTGCATAAACCATCTCAATCACCATCTACAAACATTGAACATGAGCTCATTCTTCATCCTCATTTCAGTCCCATTCAAACAATTACACTGTGAGTGGAGTGCAGTGAGTGCAGTGGTGGAAGAAGAACAAATTTTTAAAATTTAAATAAAAGTACAGATACCGGAGCAAAAAATACAAGTAAATTAAAAGTAAAAACAAGTAAAATTATTAAATTACTATTCAAAATGTACTGAAAGATTTGTACTGAAACAGCTGATTCCTAGCTGTTTTCCTTTGTATATTTTTGTTTCTTAAACAACAAATGTGTAAAAAATACCAGCCTTTTCAGTCAGTCTCATACATGAATTAAAAATACTTTTACTTTTCAGGTCTGTTAAAAAATGTGGTGGAAAGTATGGATACCTGCTCTGAAATGTGGTAAAAAGTGTCCACTTAAAAATTTATTTTGTAATGTAAGTAAGTATAAATACCTCATGTAATATTACAAAGAGGAACCAGTCACAATTTGTAGACTACAGATATCTGTTAAGAACGTAATGTATCTTATCCACTTTTGAGTATTCTGCCCCTATAAACAACCAAAATCAACAGACGTACAAAACAAGGAAACAAGGTACACATATATATATATATATATATATATATATATATATATACTTTTAAAATGTATTCCCTTCCAGATAACAGATTACATACCCCAAAATGTAGTTTGTAACGTAATCCATTAAATTACTTAAAGTGAGTAACATAATCTGAATACTTTGGATTACTTGGTTTGCTGTAGAGGAGCAAAGATGAGGAAATGTTTTGTCTGCTAAAAGACAATGAAAAGCTCAGACTTTATTTAACCACATTTAAAGTATTATTGATAGAAGAGGAGGAGACACGGTCCACACGGCATGGTTTAGTCCTGTTAAATCCTGGTTTAGACCTGGTTTAGACCTGGTTTAGTCTTGGTTTAGTCCTGGTTTAGACCTGGTTTTAGTCCTGGTTTAGACCTGGTTTAGACCAGGTTTAGAACTGGTTTAGACCTGGTTTTAGACCTGGTTTAGACCAGGTTTAGTGTCTGGCAATGAGTGGAATTATCGAAAAAAAAAAAAAAAAAAAAAAAAAGGGAATAGCCCAAAATGTGAAAACAGGAAAATACTGACGTGTAATCCATTTATTTCAACCAAGTAACTGTAATCCAATTGCCACTTACTGAAACAGTAACTGTAACCGAATACAGTTACTCATAATTTGTATAATCTCATAATACAGTATATAAAGATAGTTTGTTGTGTTTGTGTTGTCCTCACCCATGACAGAGACGTCGTACTCAATCAGGAACAGAGCCTCCTGAGCGCTCTGCATCAGGACGGTCAGAGCATCCGCGTGTTTCTCTCTGTTCAATGGCATCCCATCAATGCTCAACAAACGGTCACCAACTTTCAGTGTGCCCTCTCTGGAGACAAAAGACAACAATAATACATGAATACAATAAGAAATGTCTCTGGAAACAAATAACACAAATACAATAAAAAGGTAATAATGATTAAGTTTCTTCCTCTCATTGAATGCCATAATAACTAAGACACATCCATGCCACTACATATATCATCCTAATACCCCCATTCCATAATATTCCTCCCATTCCACCTTTGCTTTTTGCTTTTTCTTCACTACATGAAGTATCTGATGTACAAAATGTATGTACAATGTTAATATTGTATTGAAGAAAAATGTCATGATTGCCATAGGTTTACAATTATAAATTATATTCTCGAGTTATACCCTTGCACACACCCTGAGCTCTGAGGTCCCAGCTCCAGCTCCAGCTCCAGCTTGTGGTGTCCAAGATGAGACGTAAAACCAGGGAGGACGGGGCCTCTGTGGTCAGACCTAAGCTCTGTAAAAAGAGCTCCACTGTGTTTTTAAACTCCATACATCTTCACTAGAATCAGGATAATATCAGCGCTGAAATTGCCACTCTCTACTGAATAGAAGGTAAAACGTAGCTGTTAACTTGAAAACTACCGCTACATGACATCACAAGGTGGAACAGAGCATTTTGAGCTAAAAAAACGTTACTGAAATGTGTGAATTAAACAAAACACAACTCCAGATATGTTTTTGCACTGGTAACGTCATTCTAACATGACTTAAAGCTCTCAAGAGCATTATATAGGACCTGGAAAACCAAACAGAAGAACATTTTCACAATATTTGCAACATTTGAGGCTAATCTGTTTTTGTATAAAGTTTGATCTGTGAAGAAACTGCTGTTGTGATGTTTGGCAACAAAAAGAATTAAAAATGAACTGAATAGAAATGAAAAATCTGCAGAAGATGTGTTCCAGCTGCCGTCACAGTAAATCATGAAATAGTTCCACTTGAGTTTTTGCTCCCAGGTGAGCGAGAGAATAAATGAGATAAAAGGGCATGAAGTCTTTGATGGAGAATTATGTTTGCTCGGCTGTTATGCTTGTGTTGGTTTTGTACAGGAAAAGTGTAATGTTGAATTAGCCCCGGGATGAGCAGTGGCCTTTGAAGATAACACGTAGTATAGTAAATGTGCTGAAGGAGAAGGCACATGCGGCCGGATAAACAAATAACTTTCTAAAAATAGAATAACATTTTACTTTTGTTTAAGAAGGCATCAAATTCTTATGCATTTCATTGAGGACCAAATGCTCAAAACATATATTCAAGTTAAAGTGCTATTATAAAATTCAAGGGGAAAAAAAAAAAGAGAATATTGACATAATAACAAATAAAGCACTTAACATCAATATTTAGAAATTACTAGCTGCTACAATACCGTTCTCTTATGTTATCCTAATCAGTATCCAAAGTGGGTACTTAAAGATCCATTGTGTAACTTTTCTGGTGGAGTTTCTGTCAAACGCTTGTCTCCATCAAAATGTCTTTGGCTTTTTGTTTTTAGCTTTGTCTATAATGATTCACAGTATGGTATTAAACCTATCTATCTTCTATCTTCATGGAAACCAAACAAGGCCAAGTTACAGGTCAGATCTGTGGAGAGGGTACCCCATTCACAGTCAGAGTGCCTGTTTTCCTTGGCATTCCAGGTGCAATGGACATACCAATAACATGGACATGGGCAATGACATATCCATAGAGACAAGCAGGTGACAGACCCCCAACCAAAAAGTTACACAGTTCACCTTTAAATGCTTAATTTTGAGTTTTATATCTGTCCCTCACCTGTCAGCAGGACCACCAGGCCGGACATAGGTCACAACAAGAGGGCGGGACCTGCGCCAGTCTTCATGGAAACCTCCTACAAAATGAAGTATTTAACAATAAATAAATGAATAAATAATGTACTCAAATTATTGCAAATTATTTTTGCATTACTTTGTGAAAAACTAAATGACTTGTGTACACTGTGAACAATGAGAAAACGGCAGCAGTAAATCAAGTGGGATCTTCAGGTATTTGTGTTATGAAACTTAAGGGTAGGGTCACAGTCAGTACAAGTTTCTAGGCATTTACAGGCAAATGCTTAGAGAGATGGGAGGGTTATGATAAAAATACATCTAATAATGCAAAATAAATACTATACAAATCATAAATACATGTGTAGACATGACTTGAAGGCTTGTTTAATATGGACCATTACATAAGCTGACATAAAGCATTTTCTCTTCTCTTAAACATGAGCTAAAGCCTTTGGACAATTATGTGAACTAATCCCTTGTTAAAGAGATGACAGTAAATGGGTACAAGTGCATTTTAAATTCAAATACCTCTCATTACAAAGCCAAAGCTGTTTCCCTCTTTGTGCAAACACACATCTATGGTCTTAGTGACGACTCCTGAGGGGTTTTGAACTGTGAGAAGAAAACAAAAAATAGGCATGAAGAACACTTTAACAGCATTGTTTTACTGTCATATTTGCTTATTGAATCCTGTTACATTTGTTCCGTTTTTTGGCATTAACATCTATAATGGGACTTCAGATGAAAAATAGCTTTCTTGCCTAATTCTGGCATATTTACAGAAATGTTAATTAATATGCACTGTCTATAAATAAATACATAAATAAATACACACATACGCATATAAAGAGAATCTATATTTACTACACATGAAATCCTCCTTAACTTGCATTTGTGGTTGGTAACTAGAACACATGCCACAACTAAAGAAACAGAGAGTGGGCACTGTAGCGACTACATAGGGTTAAGGTGAGCGCGTTTTACAGCAAACTAAAAATGAAAATCATGAAAACAGCATCTACTTCAACACCAATGATCTCTGTAAAATATGAACATACCAAAAGGGGGCAGCTCATACTCCACCTCCAGCACGACTCTCTCTCCGATGTTTTTGAGCAAACTAATAATCTCATCATGACGAAGTTTTGACAAGTTAATGCCATTGACTGATTTGATGTAGTCTCCCACATTCAGCTGGTCACTCCTACAAAGACATAAACAAGCTTACTCAGTATTAATTTACTACAGTTCAAATAGCTAAAGTCAATTGAGAAAATACAATACAGCTCCATATGGGAGCTGCACATTAGGCAGGTGACCCTATTGTTAATGTATGATTGTTGTATCGGTGTATTAGTATGAAGCAGTGAGTTGTGCAGCACAGTTTATTTATAGTGTTGGTGGTGTGACAGCCGTGTTTCCGTCAGAGCTTCAGAGTTTGCCTCACAGTCATAGACCACTTGCCCCTGAGGTCAAGTGTACAGAAGTCCAGATGTGATGCCCCCTCACAAGACAAGAAACAGCTTTCCCTGCCAACTTAATATTGCCTATTTTCAATGTAACTGAATACATACAGAGAATACATATTCTTTATACTAATTCTGAGTAACTGTATTCCAGTACAGTTACCTTTTTATTTGGTGGTATTCAGAATACATTTACTTTTCTAAAATCAGGAGAATACACTCTGGTATTTGATCACACAATTTAGGCTTCAACTACATAGAATTACTGATTAAAATCAACACTTGTCTTGTGGTATGTGCATGTAGAATTTTTCCTTCTCCCTAATTTGTATGTATTTTGTAATCCCAAATACATTTTAATTAGGGTATTTAGTATTTCAGAACTGAATACAATTTTCAAAATATTTTCCCCATCAGTACCTATTTTAGAACAAAAAAGCATTTTCTCACTGAATTAACTGGGCAAATCATAATACACTAACTACCCCCTGTATTACTGGAGGCTGCCACACTTTCTGTCCATAAAAAAATTGTGTTTCTGGTTTGTGATTGTACAGGATGTGTCCCACTTCAAGCCCAAAGTATTCAGGATAAGACTGATAAGATTGCAGGCACTAGTCAAGAAATATTAATGAATTTATATCCTTAATTCTTATTTTAGATGATATGGTTTATAATAGCAGCTGTATCCTCAAATACTCCCAATCTTGACTACTGTTTATGATAGATTAAACTCAACCCTTGAATGAGACGAACAACAGCAAGAATATATAAGACATAAGACATAAATATAGCCCTCAAGTTTTAAAGGGCTACACAATATTTTCTGATCTATGTTCATTTTGTTTCACACATGTTTAACACAAATCCTGCATATTTAGGCTGAGAATCATTTTGATCATTTCAGACCTGGAAGTACTATAGGGGACTGTTACGACTTTGTTCCAATGTCGAAACTAAGACAAGTACATTGGTTGAACTGTCCATAATATATGAATTTAGAATGAATGCAGATGCCAGCTCTGAGACTGTCCCAGTGTACCCCCCCTCAAGCCAAAAGTAGATGGGGTAATATTGCAAACCACTAGTCAAGAAATATAAATAGATTTTCATTTATCTTAATTTTAGATTAGGATATTATATCTGCATCTACATATTCCACCAAGAATTGCAACAAGAATACAGGAACATGCCATACACACAAGGCAGAAGACATAAAGCATATAGTAGTGAAGTTATTTATACCATCTATGATATAAACTTGATTTGACAGATAGTAATAGTGATTTGATTATAGCATCCCTGGTCTAGAGACATACATATGCGTGGAGTGGTAAGGGTGGGATTGCCCAAAGCGCCTCCCGCTCCAGCTCTGACTGAGATGATGCACATGTTGTCACACATATGACATTCTGAGTCAAGCCTCTGTTCAGAGTGGGGCTAATTAATGTTGTATGCAGTCCTCTCTGGCCCTCACACCTCTGGGCACTGCCACTCACTCAGACCAGAGACATCACAAACCATCCAGGCCTGTCATCCGCTGTGTCTACAACAATACTGTCATCATAGGTTTGTCATGTTTTTTTTGTTTTTTTTTCAAAAGCTATGGTATAACTTTCTTGGTTGTGGGTCTGTCACCTGCTTGTTTCTATGGATATCATATTAAACAGCTCAACTTTACATTTATTCAATTACAGGTGGTTTTATATCTTAAAAGTACCTAGAAAAACAGACATTCTGAGTGTGAGCGGGATCGCCTCTCCACAGATCTGACCTGTAACTTAGTCTGGTTTGGTCTCCATAAAAATAGAAAGGTCATACTGTGAAACCTTCCAGACAAAGCAATCATTTGACAGAGCCTCCACTAGAAAAGTAATGCACCTGTAATTTGAAATCAACGGCTGATTTTTGTACCGGAATTTGAATTTCCAGTTCATACCTGTGAATTTAATTTTGAAATGACCTTACCTAGCCCAAATTGGCCCTTGTTTAGATCTGGTTAATATCTTTCAGTGAGTTTATTGGCCTTTAGTCCCCGTTGAATTCAGTGTCTTTGATTTTGTCTAGGGTGAATTTACACTTGGTTAGATTCTTGCTTATGCCCAGATTAGTCCTAAAGGTCAACTTGATTTGGTCCTGTTGTAGTCCTAGTTTAGTTCTGAGTTAAGTCTACGCTATGTTCCAATTTTAAGTGAAGCGGGTGTCATGGTTTAAAGTTCTTATTTAAAAAATTTAGCACTCAAGTTTAGCCCTAATTTAGTGCTTCTTTAATCCCAGTTAAGTCAGTTAATCATGACTGATTGATGATTAGATCCTGATTCAGTGAGCTTGTGTGTCTGGTTTGGTCCTGATTTAGTTTTGGTCTTGTCTGTGTTTGGTCCTCCTTGGTGTAAAAGAACTTTGAAGTGACTGATCTATAGCACTTCTAGGAGGATAAACAGCAGTGGGAGGAAAAGCTGCTTGGAAGAATTACTGCGTTGTCTGAACAACTCCTTGGACTTGACAAGTGATGGCATTTCTTTCCAAGACGTTTTCACAGAGTGTTGTCATTGTATGTGTGTTTGTGTGTGTGTTTGTGTTTGTGTGCGCATCACAGCTAGTCACCCACTGTTTAGTCACAAATCTTTAGAGGTTGTTTTTATAATAATAATAATAATAATAACAATAATAATAATCATCTTAAATACGTTTAATACAGTTCATTCAGCATTTAGCACAGTGTTAAATTCAAAATGCTAATAGTGCATGTAATATTTAAGCAGAAATAGTCATTTAAATGTGTTTGTTTGAATTTCCATAATTAAAAGCCCAGTAGCATTAGATGTCTATAGATCTATTGATCTTAATTTGTTCCAGATGGTCGTCCAAAGGGCCTATACCATCAACGTTGGCTCATGAATAATTAGAAAACGTCTTATTTTTCAGACAGTGTAGAAGTGTAGAGGAGACTACGCTAACCCCCCCTAGTTAAAAAAAAAATATATATAAATATATATATATAAATATATATATATATATATATATATATATATATATATATATATATATATATTATATAATATATATATATATATAATAATTTTTTTTTACAATTTGCTTGTTGTATTATCATAAATATATACAAGTATTTACTCTCAAAAATGTGTATATATATATATATTTCTTTAGATAAGGATTGCATGGGCCACCATAGTCTTGCAAAAACCTGAAGGAAACACCAGTGCAGTTTAGATTTTAGAGCAAAATGCGGCTCTGAATGAGCAGAATGACACATTTGGAGTGCTGTGTTAGCCTGTCGTATAGGGCACCACAGAGTAAAGCAGACTGAGCTGGCTATAGGAGAGTATGTAGATCTCACCTGGCAGCGAGCCCACCGGGACGTAGATTGGACACTCTGGGCTTTCCGTCTTTGTCTGACCCTCCAGAGATGGTGAGGCCGAGGCTGCTCCCTTCTCTTTTCATCAGCTCCACAGTGGTCACTCCTCTGTACTCCTCTGAGACAGACACACGGGGCACAGTGGCACTGTCAGCTCAGAGGCAGCAGCACAGCATCAAGCCAGTCAAAGGAAAAGCACAAGTTTATCTTTCCTTTCTCTTCAGATTTACAGAAACCTCCACTAGTGCTACAGCAGTCTCCTTTCATCTTCTCTGGGTTTTATATTTGTGAGTATATCGTATTTCACGCTTTAGCACAACAATTTTTTTGATAGTTTATTGTGTCTAAGTTTGACAAAAAAATCTTGGTTGACATAAAAGTAGCCACAGTATTTGTTCCTGTTCTTTTTTTTTTTTTTTTATCCCCATTCCCCTCCACCCTTATGCTAAAACAAACATCTTAGTATAGCAAACCAAATAAAAACATACACAATACTGATAATAAATATAAGTTAAAAAAAAATCCTAATAATAATCCTAATAATAATTTAAAAATATTATGCCTTAACATAGAACTTTAATCTCTCAAAATCTGGAATAAAAAAAAAAAAAAAAAAAATATAATATATATATATATATATATATATATATATATATATATATATATATATATATATATATATATATATATATATATGTGTGTGTGTGTGTATATATATATATATGTATATATATATATATATATATATATATATATATATATATATATATATATATATGTGTGTGTGTATATATATGTATATATATGTATATATATATATATATATATATATATATATATATATATATATATATATATATATATATATGTATGTGTATATATATATATAAATATATAATATATATATATTATATATATATATATATATACTATATTATATATATATATTATGTGTGTGTGACCTGACATTGACTTAAATTGGCTGAACAGTTCCCATCTCATTTTGTACCACCAACATTACGCTGTTCTACATAAAACAGGCCTTAGTGCTTGTGACATATACGCCACACATGCACTTTTAATAATGTCTAAGCATTTATGAGCTATTCAAACAATGCCTCATCAAACAAAACACACCGGACACGTGCTTGAGGTTTCTATGTTAAGGATGTCAGCACCGCGTGACTACAGTGGAATGTCTACGCCACCATCATGAATCAGACAGCAGAGGGAAAACAAGGCCCGGAAGACTCAGGTTTGATTATATAGTACCTGAAAGACTGTGCCGCTGGGTGGAATGTGATTGGTCACATGGTCCCAAGTCCTTGCTCCCCTTCGAGTATGGTCCCTCATCTGAGAAGACAGAATACAAATACGGAAATAATGTTTGTAGTACAGAAAAGACACAAAAAGAGATAACCACTGAGATGATAATGAATTGTACTATACCCCCAGAGAGAAAGAAAGAGAGCAGGGAGCAGTACTGATAGTTTTGTCACTAATCTTTTTAAATGATTTGGTTGATTTAGTCCTTGTTTCCTCTTTGTTTTTGGTTTACTTAGATTAAATCCTGGATCCATCTGTTTCAGCTGTAATTTAAACTGGGTTTAGTAATGACAGTGGGGCTATTTACTCCTAGTTCAGGCTTTTTTCATTCATTCATTTATCTCCATAAAACATAAATATTGTTAAATATTGTGTTTACTCCATGTATTTTTAAAGTAGCACACACAACACTTGAAATGTAAGTGATGGTGATGAAGTGACTGGGCATACAAGATCGTTATTTTTGGTCAATGTCTTAAGAATTTAACATTTTTTGTACACTAGAGTGCCTCAGATTTTTCTTCAGGTCCACCGCCACTTACATTTTCACGTATATATACTGTATGTGCTAAGCTAAATAAATCTCCGTTCCATCAGTATTTCCTCCTTGGAGCCTGTCATTTTCTATTGCAAGCAGTTAAAGTGACCATTGGGTAGTATCCTGTTCGTATAGTAACATTATCTGTAATACTGAACAGAGGTGGTGCTACCATTAGGCAAAAGCCGGTGGCTGCCTAGGCCCCTGAACCTAGAGGGGCTCCCAAGCAATTGCCCTCAGTGCCAATAGTGACAGAGAGCAATTTGATTTTCTCTCAAAGCATTCAACCCCTTTCATGTTAAAATGGGCGAGTCAGCTTGACCCACAATAGGGTAAGCTGTTTGAACAACAACTCACTCTTGTGTAACAGATAATACTCCCTACATCAACTCACCCCTATGTAATGGATAACCCTATGTCCTGTCAATCATCCTATCATTGTTGCACTGTCTTTCTATGACCTCTTGTATTAAGCTGTGATTATTCTATTTTATTATCTTTATATTTTATTGTTGTACATTTACATTTATATTATTATTATTATTTGACACCTGTCTCTTGCTATCTTCTTTTGCTACTTATTTAGAATATATTTTAACCATTTAGATTTTAGTTCTTTGTTATTATATAATATTTTGATGTGTGAGCTACTATGCCCAAATAATTTCCCTTGTGGATCAATAAAGTTTGTCTAAGTCTAATCATAGCATAATCATAATCATATATAATGAATGTAAACAAACATGTAATTGTACTAGCAAAAAAATAAAACTACTTTCAGCTCTGGTTATCTAGAAGGCTCCCTAACTAATAAAACCCCCCAAAAAAACTAAAAAAAAAAAAAACCCAAAACAAAACAATGCATTATAGTGCGGGCCCCAGCACAAGTTTCACTAGGGCCCCCAAATTGCTAACTCCGCCACTGCAGAGAAACACTGTATTCTGTCAAAAGCAATGTTTTTACTTAGTACACCTTTACTTATTTCCTGCATTCATTTTGCTTGTGTCATAATCACAGACTGTATACAGAAAGTGTATATAGTAGTATACAGTCTATGGTCATAACTTAGATCTAGTTTTCTAGTTTCTTTCAGTTTTTCTATTTGTCCTGATTTCTTAGTTTCAGTTTCAGTTTTAGTTTACCAAAAAGGGTCAAAATGAAGCATACCGCTGAGATATGAATGCTTTGAAGTGCAATGGAGAGATCAGGGCGCACTAAGCCTTATTCTGCATACTATAGTAACACAATGTGAACTCAAACCTACAGGGTCACTCCTCTGTGTCACCATGACATCCAGAGGAATGGTCTGGGACTGAAATAGCTCCCCTCCCAAACCCAGCCTTTTACCATGAGAATACATTTGCACTAATCTATGCAGCTAAACCACGGGGCTTTTCCTCAAGGAGCAGCGTGCGGTTAATAGACTGTTGGAGCATGGAGAGAAAATTATCGTCTTTATGTCATTTCAGCAGCTGCTCTCTAAACCAAGGAAGTGTTCGGTCTATTTTATGAGAGGAGCCTTTTGACATGGGGACACCAATGATTCTGACTGACCGAGTTAAACCCAAATTACAGAAAAGAACTGACAACCTGAGTAATAACCAGAAATACTGCTTTTGTCTGTGTAATGACCATAAAATATGTTGTACTCAACTCTACTATAATATCACTGTGTAACATGATTGGTTGCTAAAAATGTACAGCAACTGATTATGTGGCAGCGTTTTAGTACGTTTAAAGTAGAGGCAAATAATTCTGATTTAATATAATAGTATTTTAAAAGGCCCATATTATGTTGTTTTCTGATGTATGTTACGATGATGTTTCCTCATCACACACAAACCCTGCATATTTAGACTGAGTTCTTCTCTCAAACAGAAAACACACTGTTCTACCTTGTGATCTAATGTAGTAATACAGAGAGTGCTCCACTGTGTTTTTAAACTGCATGCACCTTCACTAGAATCATTTAGATCATTTCAGCCCTTGAATTGCCAATTTCTACTGAACAAAAGGCAAAAGGAGCTGTTGAAAACTACCACTACATTACTTCACATGGTGGAACAGAGCATTTTTATTTTTATTTATTTTAAAAGGTTAAACAAACATGTGTAAATGAAACTAAACATAACTCTAGGTAGATTTTTGAGGAGGTAACAACATTATAAAATTGCTTAATGTTCACAAGAGTAAATTTTGCATAATACAGGACCTTTAAAGTGTTAATCAAAAATATTAATTAAATGGTAATGAATGCAACACAGGCTAAAGGGTGAACACAACCATGCCCTACAGACACTGGGCTCCAGAGACCACGACAATAGAACGATTTAAAAGCAAAGGCCCTGGCTGGAAGTGACATTTATGCTCCTTTCTTTTGGAAGTATAAATGCTGATTTGTGAAGACTGCTGAACAGAGCAGTGCTTGGAGGCCATCACATCCAAAGATTTTCTCTGGACATGTTTTACATTTAAAACTGACCCCAATAAAAAGTTAACTGTCAACTGTCCCTGGTGCCTTTGAGCAGACTTAGTGCAAGTAATAGGGTCAAATCAGTCGCTGTGTGTATGACTCATGCCCAAGACATAGAAATACCCTCACTGGACATGCACATTTTAGCCATGTACAGAAACATGATCTGAAAAAATGGGTAAGTATGACCAAAATGATGACTACATATTTGCTTTGCTTTTTCTGAGTAGTGTTTTGTAATAGCGCAATAAATATATGAATTGATGAATGCAATTTATTCAAATTTATTTTGGTTAGAGTTAACAAAGTGCAAAAGGATTAATTCATCTGTGTAGTATAATTTCCCCTGAAAACCACAAAATATTCTGGATCCGTGGTATTTTATTATAAAACCAGCAAGTCCTAGACATCTAGAGACAGGAACAGACCTGCATTTGATTCCTGTATTAATTTTGCCCAATTAAGCTCAGAGACATGCAATAAATATGCTTTTTTTTTTCTTTTTAATAAAATGTACATTTTCAATATAACAAAAATAATTATAAAACATTAATAAGAAATATAATGGTATCTGCAATGTGTAAATTATTCTTCATTCATCTTTGAACACTATGCTGCTTCTATTCCCTTGCTAAATAGTGCTGCAAATAACACTATTAACTTATAATAGCCTCATGGAAAACAAAACAGCACTGGTCTTATCTGTCCACATACTGCTTTATAACATAAGCATGGTATTTGACTACATTTGAAACACTTCCTTGCACAAATGTCGCGGTCAGCTGTGCGCATACAGTGAGTGACACAACCACAGCACTGAGCAAAACCCCCCAAACCACGCGTCCCCTCAGGGCCCTGACAGTCCAGCAGCTGTCACTGCTATCAAAAGGCAACATTAGCCCTGGGTTATGTGGACCACTCCTCTGCACGTGACAGCATACTACTCCACTGCCAACAGGAAAACCCACGGATACTTCAGTTTAAAGTAACGTCCAGACGAGTAATAGTAAACAAGTAAGCAAGTCAGTAGTCAAAGATAACTATAAGTGCACACAATTGGATTAACTTAAGTAAATAATACTAATGGAGATAAAACTCCTAACTTTCAGATCAACACAAGAACAAGCTCTCCAAAGACAAATATGCTATTATATTCTTGGAAAGTTTTAAAGGTGCACTATGTAACTTTTTGGTTGGGGGTCCGTCACTTGCTTGTGGATATGTGGATTGTGGATATGTGCCTGGAATGTTCCACAGTATGACATTAAACAGCTTCTCCACAGATCTAACCTGTTACTTGGTCTGGTTTGGTCTCCAGGAAGATAGAAAGGTTTAATACAATACTGTGAAACATTCCAACCAAAGCAATACCATTTCCATTGATCTTTCCTGAATCTTTCATAAAGACGTACAGGTGTAAAAACAATTTCATGGTGAGTTAATTCATTCTGGATTGAATGCATGCCATGAAGTCTCTAATAACCAATGGGAATCTAGGTTAAATGTGGAGGGGGAAATCTGTGACAATGAAATCAGAATGCTATTTTCAGATGTCACATAAAGCCTCACCAGACCCACTTTACTAAACCAGGCATTATTAAAAGTAACACTTAAGCAGAGATATTATACACAAAGATGCAATAACTATAGGGGCTTAACAAGAACCAACCATGGACTAAATAAAGACTATATCTGGTCTTAATTAGATCTTAACAATAATTAAATAGGGACAAATCCTGGATCAATCTAGGACAGAGTAACTAAATAAAACTAAGTATGGCTGAGTGATATGACAAAATATGTATGACAGCTATTATCCTCATATTGATCAATTACAAGTTTTGATTCCATTTTATAATTTTATAATACATCATATTTGTTTGAGCTTTTTGCATGTTTTTTTTCCAAATAACCTAACCTGTATTTACAGCATTTCTGCCATTAATCACAAAAAAGTCAATTTAAAAAGACCCAAGAATATCATTGACAATTAGAACACTCTTGATTAATATTCGATTAATTGCAGAGGCCCACTTCAAATTATTAACTGCATCAGAGTCTGAGAAATAACTCAGATATACTAGTGTACATTTAGCTGTAACATCACAATTTGATCTCAATAAATAGCTCCTTTTCAAACCACTCTTCTGCCCTTCGAGATGAATGGGATTTTTCAGCGCAGGTGACGACTGGCCTCTTGCTCTGTGACTTGACCCCACATTGCAAACATCAAAGTGTGTTTCCCTTACCAATACTGCTCTTGGTGTCTCTTCTCAGGCCACACAACATGCTTGCAACAACTTAGCCACAAAAATACTCCTGGACAGTCAAAGTACAATTGGGAGGTTGAAATACAGCTCTTATTATTTCTACAGAATCACCATCTTCACTGCATTCCTCTGATGGTCCAAATCCTGCTTGACCTTTGCCATAGTCTTTCCTTGCCAACAAAAATGAGGAATAGTTTTAGTGTCTTCTTTTTGCCTGTCTTAGTCCATTATGATAATCATTTTCTCTTCGGCCAGTGTGCATTTGTTCAGCTCCAAAGCAAAGACAAAAATATCATATGTAGTCTTCTCTCTGCTGTAGCTCTGCCCTCAGAATTGGTCCCCTTTTCATGTGGATTTTGCAGCTTATGTTCACACAGCTCGCACATAAGCTGTTTGTGTCTGTGTGAAGCAGCACTGGAGTGACTGTGTTTGCGCTCTCAGCCTTGGAGGGTTTGAGAGAGACAGTCCCTCCCCCTGCACAGCGCACACAGCCACACAAAACACACCAAGATTAGAATGATCCCACCTCACTCACTCCTCTAGTCCCGGCTCAATTAACACCAGCTCCATATTCGCTGGAAATTTCAACATTCGTACCAGTGCACCTCTGCATCGCTCACGTTTATGTAAAGCTTCAGGCTTCATGGCTGCAGGAGTATGAACAGATGCATTGTGGGATAAAAATGCATTGAAATATTGCTATGATCTTTAAGAGACTTGGAGTGTCAAATGAATTGCTCTATAGCCAAAATGAAAATTACATTTTGTATGCACAAAGCTACAATAATACTGTAAAAATTCCTCAAGTATTTCTTCAGGCCTAAATAGAACTGAACAGCTGTCTTCAAGAAATTGTTTGTTATAAATGTATCCAGATGATTCGCGTATTTCCCATGTAATATAACGTTTTATGACAAATAATAGCCTACAACACTGGGCTGTAAACACTATAAACACTGGCTCCAGTTACATGCGCACTTAAAATATATTATATCTGATTATTATCAGATAATAATGAGCCACTGAGGAGCCCAATATACCAATGTTAATTGATCAGGCGACTGCAAGACTGGAAAATTGGATACACTGTGTATGTACGGTGCTAGTTTTGAGGGTGAACTTAAAACGCTGAAATCCAAATACAGTTCTCCAATCACAAAACATTTCCCTCTTTGACACTCACTTCACCAGCGTGCGTAGATCTAAATAAAACCGCAAAAAACTACTAACAGTTAGTCTGAGTTGAATGTTGTTGGCTTCCGTCTGATTCCGTGGTTTACAAGTGCAGAAGAATGTATTATACTACGTTTACAAGTTATTTCAATTTGGACATGCGCTTGCCATTTAACTGAACATACTTTTCAAAACACTGCCATCTAGTGGTCATTACATTTGATTACAATCTTTAAAGTAATTTTATACTTTGATTGTGCCTGTCCGGGCGCCCTGAAAAATAAATGTATGGTGTAGTTTTAACAGTTTGAACATAATTTCCCTATGATCACAAGAATCTGTGTGCTCCTTTGGAATTGTGAATGTGTCAGTTTATAGTTTAAAAAAAAAAAAAAAAAACTTTCTCTAAAATTGTACATTGTAAATTGTAAAATTGTAATGTGTTTGATGTTGAACATGAAAGTGTAATGCAGGACAAAACTGCCATATGGCATATTCCCTTACCTTAGACAAAATGGCATAACAGGTCCTTACCTTTGGCTCGTCCCCTTATGATTCCCATCCGGCATCTAAAAGAAAACGACATCATCCTCTTTGGCGGAGTGGATCGACTCTTTCTCTTCATGATTTCCAAGTGAGGAAAGATAAATAAGTGTTCTGGAGAGCACATCTCTTCACCTAATCCTAATATGGCTGAGCAGTTCATTAACTAGGTTAATTAGTATCTTTGCTCTAACAAGAATTCCAGCACCTTTCATTGTCCTTACATATGTAGAAAAAGGAATACAACAAGACTCAATGTTGTATCCGGACACTGAGCAGATGGCACAGGGTTCATGGCTGTGAGGCACAGTTTGCTGCCAGAATGTAATGGAAACCTTCACCACAGGATACATGCTCAAATCAGCTCTATGTGCTATGGACATCAACAGCCAAATTATCCACTTTATTTTAATTTAGTTCAAAAGATGCTTTGTACCTCTGCATACCTTTCAACATCAAGCTGCCCTCTGCCCGCCTTGCCCTCAGATTTTAAAATCCAAGAAGTATTCCTTTCTAGACAACAGCAATCATCTTGAAAAGGTGCAATTCAAATACAATACATCTTGCAATTTGAAAACATAAGGATGACATTACACCATTCCATTTTTATATATTTATTGTAAATAACCAGTTTATTCGTTCTCCTCACTCCTGAGTCTGGCATTGGGGTTGGTGACCTTGATGGCCAGCTGAGCAGCTCTTTCAACGATCAGCTTCCTGTTTTTGGAGGAAACGTTGTGCGCGATCTCAGCGCAGTGAGTCCTGGAAGATTGAATTAAGTTAGAGCTATTGAAAGCAACTTCACATGCCTTAGTAATAAAATAGAATGACCATTAGTGAAGGGAACTTGAGTATACTTCATTCATAACCTTGCTAGCAAGATGTATTCTCACGATTTTTAAAACTGAAAAGGACTACACAATCTGGCAAGAGCAAGAAGTTCTTCTGTTGGCTCTTATTTCAAAGTCTGCTCTTGGCACAATTCCTGCATTTAAACTGTGACACTCAAGGACTGTGTAAACTAATTTTCTTCCCCAGTAAATCTAGCTACAGCACAAAAGCCAGGCTTTGTTCACTGCAGATGATGCCTACACAAGGGCTGTAACTGAGCATTATATGGCTATCAAAAGTATTAATACCCAGATACTGATCAATATTCACTCTACTAAAATCAAATACAAACTTTATAGATATTGAAAAAGGACAAAATTGGACCCTATGACTGCTTTGGAAAGTTCTTATCTGAACTATAAAACTTACTACTGTTGTGAAAAGTGTCACTGGTATTAGAATATAGAGTATTATGCCTTTGCTTTAAGCTTATAATAATTTTAAAACTAATATTGCAACAAGTCCATTATCATGCACAGCAGAGCACTTAGGAAATCAAAATTAACTGAAGACGCTGTGGTTCATTTACAGTTAGTCCACTTTTGATTCTGTCCCCACTGAACTAAAGCCAATAATAGTTTAATAGTGTAATAAAATCTAGATCTAAACATCTACTTTGCTTTTCTGTAAACATAGCTAGAGTTGAACTGACGTTCCTGAGATGTGAACGTGCCATTTAAAATTTAAGTGCAAATTTGCCCCAGCCCTCACAAAAATATGCTTTTTAATTTTAGGGCAAACCATAAAGCAGGGTGGACTGGATTAGTACAGCCAACCCATTCCCCTAAATACATCATATCAACACGTGTGATACAACAACTATTCCATGTTTGAGAATAAAGTGTTGCACATTTACAGTGTAGTTCAATGTGCAAAGGCAGTGCCCTGGCTTATTTGCATAACCATTACTCAGGCTGTTGTGGTGATGCCAATAATTCTCTCTCAGATGTTGTCCAAGTGGTTATTGACTGAAATGCTTTAGTGCACTAGGCCCATATACCACTTAACTACAGCGGTATATAATAAGCAGACTTTAACATTAAAACAATCCAATGTTGATTTGAAATTGGCAGCCCTTGTTACAAAGTTCCATTGAAGTTAGAGTACAAAACTTTTTCCCACATGAGCATATGTTTTTCCTCCTAACGGTATATTTTAGAGCAGAACTCCAGCCAGACCACTACTTTATACTGTAATCCAGTCTTATAAAATATCATATTTTGCAAACCTGTAAGAATGCAAATCATTTATGATCCTGTGAGATGAGAGCCGATTGGCTGGATGTAATTTTTCCAATAGTGTGCATCATAAGCCTAAATGAGTCATAGGACATAGGTCTTATTTAGAAACAGATTAACATCTCACCTCGTACCCTTTCTGTCAAATACTCACAATAACCTCATTTTATTGATGCCCCTATTGTGCAACTTACTCTTGTGATCATTTTCTGCTGAGCACGTTTCAAATGACCCTTGTCTACTGACCTTTGTTAGATGCAGGAAATTACACCACTGACATCAATAATGTTACAGTAAACAATGAAACTTACTTGTTGCTCATCATAAGTACTTCAAGCTCCTTGATGTTGTGGACCAGAAATTTCTTGAAACCAGTTGGCAGCATGTACTTTGTCTTCTTGTTGCTACCATAACCAATGTTAGGCATCAACATCTGCCCCTTGAACCGCCTGCGCACCCTGTTGTCAATACCTCTGGGCTTGCGCCAATTTTTCTGTTAAGTATTGTAATATATAAAGTCATTATTCAGGCCACATGGAAATTTCGTACATTTCTAACATCAAATTTCTTACCGCAATCTTGACATATCGGTCAGACTGGTGACGAATAAACTTCTTTGTCCTCTTCTTGACAATCTTGGGTTTGGTGAGGGGCCTGAGGGCTGCCATGGTGACTGAAAAAATAAGACACTTACAATTGATGCTCACCTCAAAAGACAGTGTATGCATTATAAGAAAAGTTTCAAATTGCTGGACTCAAATAAACCATTTGTGCATTAAACTGTCCACACCAACATTTATTGCCAATTCAGTGAAAACAAGTGCATCCATGAACATGAGTATGATCCGGATACAGCCAAGCACACTGCTCTGTTTTGTACAGGTAGCGTGGCTAACTAGCTAAATTTCATTTTGACTGCAAGGACTTAGTGGGGTAATAGAATATTTCAACAAGAGCCTGCGAATATCCAGGTAATGTATTTAATGCGCTCAACGGGGGCCTTTCCTAATAGATCTACATTATAGCGAAGAAATATGTAGCCCTCTCAGCTACTAGCAATCATACAGACTATGGTAGCAATGGTGACTCCATCGCTATTCCTTATCGCTACGTCCCTATAACAGTGGAAATAACTTTTGGTATTTTTGGCAAGATCTGACCTTTATTGTTTATACTGAGTGAATGTAGGCCAACTTAGTGTTAAATTTAATGAGGATTGTAGCAGATTGCAACTACTCACCGGCCGATGTAAATCCAAAAAGGACCTCAACGACGGAGGAAGGGAAGAAAAGGACTTCCGGAGTGAACCTAGGGGCTTATGGGTAGTGTAGTATTACACGTTTTATTACAAATGTTTAATTTTGCATTGTGTAAATAGCGTGCAATATGCGATACTGACACGTATTAAAGAATCTTAAGCAAGATTCAAAAGTTTATACAAGAATGTACTTAATTTATATTATAGGTGATGAACACTACGTGAGTGCCACGGTGAGTGCGCACTTCTGAGGCAAGGAAGTCAAAAGTTGATGTGCCGCCATGAGTTAAAGTAAGATAAAAGTTTTATTTTCGTTTTCCTGTCACAAGACAAGAGGCGGTGGCCTAACTGGTGGAGTGGGTGAAGTCCGAATAGGTACTGGTTTGCTCTTAATCTCATGATCATAAGGCTGCATGCTCATTGCGCAGTAGTAAAAGCGATGTAGCTTACTTTTTTCTGTGTTTAAAAGTTTTTATTTTCTCTCTCACTGCAGCTCCTTTTACAATAAATCTATATGGAGAACAGACCAATCATGAGGTGAGTTTTGGAACACGTTTAATAGATCACTGATGGTAAAATTTACAGATTTTATGGTATTTGGGGGGGGAGAGAAAATCTGAATTAATTTGTTTTCTGTTTTGTAGCCATAACAGAACCTACGGCGTGGCCAACCCTGGCTTCATAGCGACAGCGGAAACGGCACCAGGTAATACCATCAAATAAAGTAAATCCTCATGTAGCAAGGGGGTTGAGGGGATGAGAGAGAAAGAGCACTTTGTACTATATCATATGGACTACGTTACGTGTCGCTGATGCTCTTGGTGTAAATTGCGGATAACACTTCCCTAAACTTGCCCAAATGACGTCAGTCTGTAGGCTAGTTGAATCTCAGCTATGCGAGGATCCAGCCCACATTACTGCGTTTGCAGCTTGTTTGTCTATCGCAAGAGCATGGGAGTTTATTTCTTACATCTTTATATCTTCTTAAGTGGTTACTGAAGAACTGTATTACTGTATTGGGGGAACAGATCAAAATAGAAGATAAGGTAGGTTCTTCTGAACGCTTCTGTTAGAAAAAGACAACAAAAACAATGATTCCAGTGTAAGCAGTGTAGGAAGTGAACTATGAGGAAAAGTCGTTTAGTCGTTGAGTCTGTATTGCCAAATTCTCAGAGGTTCGAGTTTTTTATGACTTTTTGAGGAAGTTCTGATTTACCAACTTTGATTGAACTGGTTCTTCTGGTTTGTTTCAGCAATGTTTGCCCCACCCGCCCCGGACTACTCAGCTGCCAGTGCTCCTCCAGCCAGCATGTTTGATAATGTGCCCGGCTATGAGGGGACCATAGCTGGAGATGGAGGTACAGTGTGCTGTCTATACAGCATTAAGTTATGTAAGCTATGGGATGTATGTATGTTTGAGCCTCGCCCAGGAGGAAATTTGTTTAAACATGTGCACTGACTGCTGTGACCACAATGAACATATAGCTCAGTACAGTATGGCATGCTTACATGAGTCCATACATTATTTACTAATGCAAATTATAAATACATATTTGCTACAGGTGGATTTTTGCCACCTCCAATGCCTGTCACACCTGTACAGCCACCACAACCTGGACCAGAGCAGCCACACTGGAAGTAAGACTTATTTGCAAGATATTGAAAACGTGTTAAAAAGGAGTCCTACATTGTTCAACAAATAAATAATCATGCAAAGAAATAGATATAGTAGTTGGAGTGCCCGCTGGATCTCCGCTGAAGTGAAATAATAATCAGGTGCTCTTCGGAGATCCCAAGTGGGCGCATAACTTACTGGATGAAAAAGGATGTCCGAGGTACTCCGATATATTTTGCTATTATTTTATTTAATGTCAAATGCCAGCGCGTATCGACTTTACGTGTCCTGATGAAGATGCAAGTCGAAACGCGTTGGCGTTTGACATGAAATAAAATAATAGCAAAATATATCGGAGTGCGTTGGATCTCCTCTTTCATCAAATAAATAATCATAATCACTTCTGTGCTTTTCTTTTTGCCAATGAATAGCATACCATCTATAACTGAAGAGACAGCCCGGGATGCTTTTACACTGTACGCATCCAGCAAGTGCTGCTACAGTAAATCACCAGCAAAGGATGGGGTCATCACTAACATGGAGGCCTTCAATACATACAGAGTAAGGGAGATCCTACATTTACTGTTAAGCCTAAAATGATACATCAGTGGTGGACACTGACCTGCCAAGCACTGCCAAAGTGCACTATATGTGACCAAACAATCGATCATCAAGACCACAGTCTATGTATCATCTAAGGAACTGAAAAACATGATAGAGTCACAGTATATATACAAATATTTCACTGTAAAAATGTGAAAGAGACTGAAAATAATAGCTTTGTATCTGTTTTATAGTACAGATTGGAAACATTCACTGAATCAAGATCTACACAGTGGGCACACGAGCCGTATCATGGTACATATTTCTATTGTTTGTGTTTATTATACAGATTATATAAACGGTAACCTGTTACTGTGATTTGTTCAGGCCAGCCAGTTGATGCATTTGCCCAACCACCACCAGGACCGTGGGATATTCCTGCTCAAGCCCCAAGTTTTTTTCAGGATTCCAAACAAGTTCTCAAGGTCCCATATACATCATCTGTAAAGGTACGTGCATTTTATTTAATAATAATAAAAAATAAAAAAACTACAGCTGAGCTACTTTTTATTGTATTTATTGCAGCCATGCCATGCGTGTACGGGCATGGGACGAAAACCTTGCAAAAACTGTGCGGGTAGTGGTAATGTGAGTTGTTACAATAATTTAGTATATGCCATCTTTGGCCTGTTTACTCAAAAACTGTATTTATTAAATAGAAAGTTTGTTGGGTCTGCAATGGAAGTGGTTTTCGCCATGGAAATGATCGATGCCATTCCTGCAATGGACGAGGACGAGACAAGTTCAGTGACTTGAAATGAATTCTTTTTTCACTTGCTGTTACTCCAATTGTGTAAAAGATTATGTTTTTATTTGCACAACATAGTTGCCACCACTGTCATGGGAATGGATCAACGCAGTGTCCAACATGCCATGGGAAACAACAACTTCTGGTTTACATCAACCTCACAATAAAATGGTGAAAGTTTTACTTGTTACCAGAATAAAAAAGAATGTATATAGATATACATTTTATCAAGAAAAAGTAACTGTAACATGAATGTTCATTTAGGACAAACAATTGTGATGATTACGTCGTAGAGCAGTCAAGTGGACTCCAGATTTCCAACTTAAGCGAAGTGACTGGCAAGGAACTTTTCAGAGACTCCCAATACTTGGTACAAATTATGTTTGTCTTACACTGAACTAGTATATCACTCCACCCCTTATTGAAATTACTTAAACTCAGCATGAATAACTGAACACATGCACCTTATTTTCATTTGTCATACCACAATGAACTTTATTAATACTATTGCCTGTATCGTCATTTGTGAGGCTAGTGTTAACGGTAATGTGTGAATAATTATTATTCTGTAATTATAACCTACTACAGGTGTACCCTGTGATGGGGTTTCCTGATATGTCTGTGGTCACTGCAGCACAGCGTCTTGTTGGTGAACATATGAACAGATTCTCCCAAACAGCACGCATCCTTCAACAAGTAACTGCCTTTTTTTACTACTGATGCAAAAA